TCTACATAAGCATCATTTTCTCTAATACAAAAATATACACGTTTTGAAAAATGATTATCTTATGAATGCTTTTGAGTTTATTTCATGTTGACAGATAAAAATATTGATCAAATTTCGTATCTTTTATGTTGTTATGAACTTTAAGAAATGCAAAATAACAAATCAGAAATGTCTTGGGTTGTTCGATTCTTTCTAACAATTGAGGAATAGGATAAAGGGAATTGATCTTTCATTACACAAGTAAAGTATCAATACAATGTATGTATTGTACAAACATATACATATTACAGCTAAGCTACCAATAATCACCACAAGAACACAACCCTCCTTGGAAAAAATGGAAACGGTTGTTATCTCGGACAACAATATGCCGATGATATACTTTTGACACAAATTTTGCAAATGAATGGCAATCTGAGCACATGCGAAGGTTTTTGACTATACGAATGGGATGTCTCCGAGAGGTAGAGATGAGTCCATATGCCATGGCTATTTTCTCGCTGTGTCGATTAAGCAAGAATTCTTTCTCTTGTTCATCAACATCCAACAGAACATTTGTTAGATCAGGGACATGACCTGCCTCTCTAACCCTGCAGTTCATTTCGTCTAGCATTAGGCAAATGTTTGTGTGTTCCAGGTGAAACTCATCACCTGAAGTAAATTCGTGAACGTTCCCATTCACCTCGATTGAGCTTGAACCGGGGTTCTTCTTTATCCCTCTTTCCTTCATGGACATCCTTACCTTCGCAACATCAGTCCACTTCCCTCCCAAAGCATAAATATTTGAAAGAAGCACATGGATCCCGGCTTTATCTGGGGATGATTCAGAGATCATATCAACTGCATAAGTTGCTATCTCCTCGTTTTTGTGCATTTTACAAGCAGCAAGAAAAGCCCCCCAAACTGCATCATTGGGCTTCATTGGCATGCTTTTTATTATACCAACAGCTTCTTTCAATAACCCAGCGCGGCCAAGCATATCAACAATGCACCCATAATGCACTATCTGTGGTGAGATGCCATGTATCTCTTTCATACTCGTAAAAATTTCCATTCCTTCTCCTACTAAGCCCCCATGGCTACATGCTGTTAGTACAGCTACAAACACAACTTGATCAGGTTCCACCCCTTCCCGAAGCATCTCATAGAATAGTTCGACTGCCCGCTTACCATTTCCTTCCATAGCCATGGCCCCTATCGCTGCAGTCCAGGCAGAAACATCCCTCTCTTTCATTTTGTTGAACACTTTCATTGCACTTGAAGGATCACCACACCTAGCAAACATGTCAACAAGTGCGGTACTTAGCTGCATATCTAGATGAATTTCGTACTTCTCAATGTAATTGTATATCCACTTAGCAAGATCATTAGCACCTAAATATCCACAGGCAGATGCAACACTGACCATTGTCACTCTATCTGCTTTAATCCCCTCATTCTGCATTACACGAAATAGATGAATTGCATCCTCAAACATGCTCTGCTGTACCAAACCACCGATCATGGTGTTCCATGATACAAGATCACTCTCAGGCATCTCATTGAAAGTTCTGTAAGCAGCCTCCACATCACCATTTCTCATAAATCCAGCAATGAGTGAATTCCATGAGACTACTGTCTTGTTTGACATCTGATCAAAAACTCTGCAAGCCCATTCTTGACTCCCACACTTCATGTACATATCAATAATAGCATTACCAATGGAATCCCAATTCGCTAACCCGTTCCTCAAAACATAAGCGTGACACTGCTTTCCTAAGAAAACATCAGCCATCTCTGTGGAAGCTGATATAGAAGACAACAAAGTTACTCTATCCGGACGAGGTCCTCCACAGGATAGCATTTCCCCTAAGACCTCGAGCGCTTCCCTTACCATCCGTTTACGTACATAGTTTGATAAAACTGTATTGTATAGTACCAAATTACGATCAACACATTCCTCAAAAAGCCTTTTTGCCTTATCCATAGATCCACATTTCATATACATATCAATAAGGGCATTTACCATAACACTATTGACCTTCAATCCCGCCTTCCCAATATAATCACACACTCTTTCCGCCAATCTCAAATCCCCCAACTCTGCACAAGCCGATATCACACACACCATTGTCACAGAATTCGGCATAACACCCTCCTCTACCATCTCGAAAAACAAAGCAACCGCCTCTTCAGCATTCTCACTCTTCGCATACCCGCAAATCAAACAAGTCCAAGACACTAAATTTCTCTCAGACATTTTATCAAACACTTTCCTTGCTTTATCCACCTCCCCACATTCACCATATAAATGTATCACTGAATTCAAAACAAACACATCATCACCAAAACCCCATTTCAAAGCCAAACCCATAACTTGAATTCCTGTAAAAAACCTCCCATCCTTCGCACAAGCACTCAAAATCAAAGGAAAAGTATACCCATCAGGCTCCACGCATTCAACAACCATTCTTACATAAATCAATACAGCATCATGAAACAAACCCGCTAAGGAATACCCTTTAATCAAAGAATTGAACTTGTATGTATTATCATAACCTTCTTCATTACCACTACAGAAACTGTCAAAAGCTATTTGTGCATATTCCATGCTATTATAGGAACCCAATTCGGAGCATTTAGCAATGAGTTTACCGAGAAAACCAGGGTCCTGATTGAACCCCTGTTTTGTGAAATGGGCGTGTAGTTGTTTGATTTCGTTCAGATTTTTGGAGGATTTTATTAAGTCAGTTGTTGTTGATATTCGATTCGATTGAGTTTGTGTAGTAGAGAGAAGCGGAGAAAGAGATAGATTTATGGTTGCTGCCATTGCTATTCGAGGTGTTTATTCAGCTTTTCAAGAGCTTACAACTGACACCATTCTTTCTGATAAACTCCATTGATGAGAACTAAAATGTTTAACCAGAGCAGTATTACTTTAAGTGGCATATATTTAGATAATATATATATATATTGTATCAATCACATTTTAATAATTAAATGATAAATCCAGAAGATATATAAAATACGAATACAACTAATATGAAAATGTATTATAAAATAGAAAGAATACATCAGGGTAACATCAGAATCATGATTGGTTATTACATAAAATTAGACTTTTTATTATTATCAAACAACGGATTTATACGATATAATCATAAAAACAAGGGAAAAGGATTAAGATGTCAAATGTCCTTAGTTTATCAAAATTGCCATTGTTATCAATATTTTAGTTCAAAAATATCCTTCCAGTCAATATTGTAGTTTAAAAATGCCCCTATAGTTACTAAATGGGTCAAAAATGCCTTGTCCTTTTTCGAATAACTATAGTATTTTTTTCTTTTAAAAAACATTTTCTTCTTAATTAAATAATTATAAAAGAATCACATTCTTGATTTTTTTTCCTTTTAAAATCTCTTTAAAAAATAAAATATAGGAAATATTTTTTTTTCTTAATCTCATCTTATCAAAAAACATTGAATAACTTCATGAACCCTTTTAACATATAATATATGTCATATATACAAAGATCATTGTATATCCATCATTAATTTATATTTATATAACGATAAAGTATAATTACAAGAAATATAGTATAAATTATAATAAATATTTTTTATTTTTTTCTAAATTAAAATAAGATGAACATTTGCTATTTAAAAAAGGGAAAAGGGTTAAAAATACCCTTAATGTGATAAGAAGAAAAATGTCCTTGTTTATAGTTTGGCTAAAAAATGTCCTTACCATCAATACTTTGGTTCAAAAATGCCCTAAAATTATGCGAAAGGAACAAAAATGTCCCCCGTTTGTAGTTTGGTCCAAAATGCTCGTCATCAATATTTTGGTCCAAAAATGTCCTTATTTATTTGACATCAGATCAAATTTTTAGGATTTCGTTATATTTTTTGACACTTTTTTTATAATAAGAAAAAAACCGAAGGAAAGTGTGATACACTCATTGATGACATGATAAATGATTACATGTGTTATTTTAAGTTAAAAATTATTCTAAAATCTATTTTAGTAAATAAAATAAAAATATTATTCTAAAAAATAATTCAACACCTCCCTCTTATGGTAGCTGTCTTCTCTACTGGTTTAGATTTTTTTTCTTTCTATCTTAGTGTTGTTTTGAGAGAAAAGAAAAGGAGGGAGACAAGGAGAGAAAGAAAGATAAATTATAAAATATTTTTTCGGCGAAAAAAGTGTTATAAAAATTGTCTATTTTTCATACACTCTAGATCTCTTTTGTGTTTTTTTCTTTTACTATTTTTCTTTCTTTCTAGTGTTGTTGTGTGGGAAGAGAAGATGGAGAGATCAAATATGAAATATGAGTGTTGGTATTCATTTATCCCGTAAAAAAGGCAGAGGGAGACAATGATAAATTCAAAATAGTAATACAATAAAGATGAAAAAGAATGACTTCAAAACGAATTTGAATTAAAAAAATTTACCACCAATGAAGGAGTTTAAACTTGAAAAAATGAAGGGAGGTAGTGACTTGAGAATTGAAGAAGATGAAGAGAAAATAAAATTAAAAAATTGTTTAAATTTAATCTTTCACACGCTATTGTTGAGGATATTACATTCACTTTGACATATCAATAGAAAAAGTCAACATGACATAACGAGACTTTACATGAAGTCTCTAAAATGAACAGTTAAGATATCTAAGTGAAATTTGATGCAAATTTAAGGGTCAATCAATGAATTTGGCCCGTGGAAGTTGATATAAAAGACAACAGTCACTTTGTCACAGACAATAAATTCGAAAGCCAAGCAACGATGGTGCGAGGAGTCCCTTTCTTTATTTAGTTTTAATTGCAACACATATATTTGACCATAAGATAATGAAAAAGTTTCATTCACTTTTTTCACTTCAAATTTCTCACAAAAACTCAAAGAAAATTCTAATTTATTATGTAATTTCTAGAATATATACTTATCTAGCTATAAATTTTATATTTATTCTATCAAGAGTAAAATAAAAAAGTTAAAAATTTAAAACCAACGAACCAAAATAGAAAACAAGGTCATATAAATTGAATTGAAATGCCTAAAGTACAATGTAAGAAAATTATAGCACTATCACCATTGTAGTGAGAAACAACATATAAAACAGAATCATTTTAGTTCCATAACTCTTTTAACATATTTAGCCCTAAAAAAACTCGGTTTAAACACTCTGAGACCTCCTGGAGAGAACCTTGGAAATAGCTCTAATGGTATTTGGGGTAGTCCTGCAGCAACCTCCAACGAGTGACGCCCCAGCGTCGCACCACTTGTCCACGTATGACACAAAATCTTCCTCTACGACGCCCCTTGAAGCCTACAACAATTCATTAGGTTCTTTTTATGAAACGTTGACTCTCGATTGTTCAATCATTTGATAGACGTACATGTTATAGAAACAAGAAAGGTTATATAGAGTATTGAAAAGACTTACCACCCATTCCTTCTTTACGCCATCATAAGTCTCACCGTTGTTTGGATATACAAGTATTGGTTTACTTGTTACCTGCAATATCATTTGTCCATGGAACCAATCAACATTTCAGAGTTTCAACATGAATCTTGGTACATGACGACACGTTTCTATCAATTTCACAAACCAAAGAAGTAACTATACCTTTCGGATTGATTGGATCAGCCCCTGAATGTATCTCGGAGAGGTACAATTGATTCCAATTCCAACGACTTGCTTACACGAATCAACAATTGAAGCACATTCTGCAATGGAATCGCCACTGGCTACATTGATACCGTCTTTAGAACTGAAGGAAAACCACACAGGAACGTTGATAGCCTCTTCCTCAAGAATCTCAGCATAAGCCTATATAAAACGAAAAAAATGAAGTTAAGCACACTTGACACTACTAAGGGATATAACTTCGACTTGGGGGGAAAATGAGCAAGAGTATATATGATCAAGAACGTTAATACCTGAGCTTCGATTTTGTTTGGAGTTGTCTCAAATGCAATCAAATCAGCACCTGAATCTGCAAGAACCTGTACTCTCCTTCGATGAAAATCTTTTAGAGCTTTCACAGTAATCGCATCACCATAAATTCCACTACAAAACCACGAAGGGCAGAGTAATATCAATTTCACATTATCTTAAGTTAAATCAAAATACACCTCAACCGTTCTACTAAGACATTGGACATTAACTCACCTATATTCAGAACCATCAGCCAAATAAGCTCCGTAACTTCCCACAGACGCTGCAACCAAGACCGGATTGCGTTTCAAACCGGCTCCATCAATAAAATCATCCCAAGAACCTTTGGAAGCTCTGTCATTATATATGTTTCGCGCTTCACATGCTATCTCCACGCTTCTTTTGAGCAATGCTTCACCTTCTTCCCTTGAAATTCCCTTGGCTTCGAATCCCTGAAGGGTTGCCTGTCTCGTGCAAACGAAAGTGAAACAACTAATGTGAGCATTACTAGCTATCTAATTAGCCAAAGAGCAATAAAAGGAAATACATAAGCTCATTGCAAAAACCTGATAAGATGAAGAGATTATAATGTTGGCACCAGCTTCCAGGTAATCTAGGTGCACCTGTTACATCGAAAAAGAATAACAATCATAATTATTTTGATCTTTATTATTCATGTTATAGTCCGTTATCTTGTCCTCCTCCTGGGTTACGATTTACGCGAGAAAAACATACTCTTCATCTCCTAAAGGATATCTAGGCTATGGAAACATGGGATTCATCCATGTTGTGAAAATTTTGGTTGATCAGTGACACGAGTTGCGATTGCTGCAGATTTGCTACTGCTGTAGAGATCAACATAAGTCTCCTAAACTAGTATAATACTATCCAAGTACTACAAACAGAGGCGGACCCAAAGTTATGCGTTTGGGGGTTCTAGATCAATTTTGTTTAGGGGTTCAAATGTTAATGTATATATATTTATTTAATTTTTTGATATAAATATAGGGTCTATGAAAAAGCTAGTGGATTTGTCTGAACCCATAAATTTCCACCTAGCTCCATTTGACTACAAACATAATTGGATAAAGACGAGCCAATCGCTAATCAACACCGCGAATATAAGCCCTAGGTCTACCAACTTTTTTCTGTAACATTTCTTAACACTAAAAGATAAACAACTTTTAGTGGCAATAAACAAACACATGAATAAAGAATGTTAAAGTCTTTACCAACATTAGTTAAGTGACACTAAATCTAATGTCGCTAAAGCCTATGGGGACATATACAAGAAATGTTAAACGCCGCTAAAAGTACATATTTAGCGACAATTGTCAACTAATTGCCGCTAAAGCTCATTTTCGACGTAGTGTATTTTTTCATTCAAAGGAATTAGAAAGGTTTGAATTATAAAGAAATGCATAATAGTAGTGCTTGTTACATGTTTTGTTATTTGTGCAATACATAATTAAAGATGTCTTGCACAAATAGGTCAAAGCAATTATCTTGGATTTTTGTTAAAGGTTGTTACATTCCTCTTGTTAACCAAGAAATAAAAATATTTTCCCTTGGTTTGGTTATGTCAATACACATCAAGCAAAGACGAAATTATATAATTTAAATTTGATAGAATTAGCAATACTTTCACTATACTTTTTAAATATCAATAATCTTTTACGTACACATATTCTATGTTAGGGGTGGCGACTTAGAGTCGACGATACGAATTCGATAGAATTTAATAGCTTTACGTACGTATATATCTACTCGTAACTTCTAGATGTGTCAGCATAAAAACTGAAACAGAATAATGAGGTGTCAAATACAAAAGCATCCACGTTGTTGATGTCAAAAGTAATGTAGTGTAACACCTCACATGTTCCACAGAAACTAATATTAAAAAAAAATTAAAACAACAAGCATAGGACAGCTCGAATCTTCCACATAAATAAAAAAAAACGGAGTAACATTTTTTCACTAACGAGAAAAAATTTAAATTATTACGAAGAAATTAACAAAATGTATATATTTATGATATAATTTTCTAATAAAGAATGATTAATTAACACAAGAATGAGTCTTGTCACTGTCTAAGATGATGAAAATAGTTTTACATATTTTAGTTCTTCAATTAGTTTTTTAAATTCCAATTATGACTTTTTTAAGAAAATCAAGAAAAAGCTAAGGGATAATAATAATATATTTAAAAAGTTCAAGCCAAGGATGAACATGTCATGACGATATATATAAAAAAAAATTGAACGTACGTACACGAAACTAATTTTTATCGTTTCTTTCTTTTTATTAATTAAAAGAAAAAACATAAATTTTATTTCTATCGATTGAAAGGATTATTCAGAAGAATTTTTTATTTACATGCGATAAATCAAATTAGTTATAAAAGATTATGACAATTAACAAAAGATAATGTAGAACATTTAAGAAAAGAAACAATGACAATCCCAAATTAATACGATAACTGAAGCATAATATATCAACAAGTGAAAACATATATTAAAAGTAAGAAACTAATAACAAGAACAAATCACTGTAATAACTGAAACATAATAAACAAAAAAATGATAACAAATCAGTATAATAACTGAAACATAATAAACAACAAATCATAACAAATATTAAAAGCAAAAACTAATAACAAAAACAAATAGATACGATAACTGAATCACAAAAAACAACAAATAAATTAATGCGATAACTAAACACAATAAATAACGTACCCTTCTTATGAGATGAGGAGAGCTAACAAGACATTTAGCACTCCAAAGAGAATCATTTAAGTCGGCACCGTGCCTCTCTAACTCCGTCGCAAGTCCACCGTCTATCACGGCGTAGCCACCACACTGCCGGAGAAAATCACCCAAAAATGTTGACTCACTTTTCAACCCCATCTTTTTTTTGTGTGTGTGTTATAATTAAATTAATCTCTGCAAAAATATTGACTAAAAATTAATTGAGGAGATTGTGTAGAAATTTAGAAGGAAAGTGAATATATTTTATTTTGAAAACTTTGCAGAAGTTGGCAGAAAATTGAAAAAAGGGAAATGAGTTTAATGAGGAATGTCTCCCATATATATATATATATGCTGTGTCTCTTTTCGTCTCAAATTATCTGTGTTAAATTATAAATATGTTAGTTAGCTTTTTTTATTTATTTTGATTAATATGCAATTTATTCATTTTTAATTATCTACTTTTATTTATTTAACTTAATATAACATCATTTCTTTATCAAATGTTATTTATTTTCAATAATCACTTATTTTAATTATTTGAATGTCCTTAAATATTTTAAAATATCACTTCCAATACCCAAAAACTTATTTTTAGTAAGATATTAGTATTAGTTACTACTCCTATTACATACTTTTTTCGATTGATTTGTTTGATACGGTTTAAATTGTCGTAATTGGTTTTTTTACCAAATAGGTCTTATCGTAATTGATTTTTCTTACCATTTAGATCTATCTTAATTGGAATGTATTTCTTTAATAACTTCATGTACATTGAGAAGAAATATGTAATTATAAAAAATTACAATATTAATATGGAAAACCATAAAAATAAATAAATTCATACATAAAAAGAAAAACAACAACATACTGTTTTAAAAATTACTTTAAGCTATTAAAATGTAAATTATTATGATCGATACCTTTCCAAAAATCTATAATCTCTTTCAGATACGTGTACTTCTTTTCAAAAATCTATAATCTCTTTCAGATACGTGTACTTCTTTCCAAAATTCTATAATCTCTTTCAGATAGGTGCACTCACGTCTAGAAATTTGATGAGAAAGGAAAAAGGAAGAAGCTATTTTTGGACGGTGGATAATTTCACAAAAACATTTCCTTATGTAAGCAAGTTTTTGGATTTTTTTTTGTTCCAAGAAGAAGATTAAATTCAAGTGTCGTGTATCTAGCCATAATTTTATAATGTATCTAGACGATATATTTTTTTGTATGAATTTGGACAAATTTTTTGAGTAGGTTAAAATAATATTTTTTTGCAAAATCAAATTTGGTTAAGCGTTTACATATATATCTAGCGCACATGAAGGAAAATCGACCCATTTTGTCTTTTAGAGTCCATTTCACATGATGTGCCTTTTTCCTTTCTTTGGTAACATAACAAAATCTTTCTAATTTAAAAAAATACGCTGTACTTTCTAATATTACATATCTTATTAAATTTTAATGTAATTAAAATGTTTAGATATATTGTATCATAATGAATTTGTACGTATTCTAGATACATAGATAAATTTCACTTATCTTTCTCTTATCTCGCTCGTCACTCATATCTCACTCGCAAATTTGATGTCACATATAATTTGTATTTAGTGTGATTCACGTGTATCTGGATACATACACAAATCTCATTCACCTCTCTCTTGTTCTCGCTCGCTTCTCTCCTTATTTCAATGATAGCAAAAAAAGACATGTATTGTGTTCGATTTGAAATCTGATATGAAATTATTAATTAGCGAGAAAAAATATACTTATTACAAATTATAAAAAGACTTAATAAATATGATAAAAATATTTATTTAATTAGATAATTGTTCCTTCTTTTTTTTTTTTTTTAACATGGAGTACCCTTACATATAATTTCAGTCTAATTTCGAAATCACTAAGCATATTAATGGAATTTGAAACTTAATTGTAAGCCAACACATAATTAGCTAGTGCCAACGCCGTATTAAACAAGAATTATCTTGATTAACGTTTTTCAAATAATAAAATAATTTAACTTAAATTTCACGCTAATGTTATGTAATTAAACATATCCACTTATCATGGCCTTTTTTTGTTGGAAAAAACATTTTAAATAAATAAAAGCAGATTTTGGATTAAGATGCTTTTATCATAATTTGCGATAGAAATTGCTTCACGCTATTTCTAAATTATTTTATACGTAACACGTTGTATGACTAATCACAAAATATATTATTTATATATTGAAAATTGTATAAAGAAAGCATATTCTATGGGTGTGTTCTGCATGTAGGGAAAAAAAAAATTTTAAGAAAATTTTTGGAATATATTCTTAAGGTATAAGTTTGATATATTTTTCACTTATTTTAAGTACGTAAATTAGAAAATATTATCATAAGCCTTTATGTGTATAATCTAAGATAAATATCCGTTTGACCGATTAGCGAAAAAATAATTATTTGATAACTTCTGCTCTTATTTTTTTGTCAAAAGTAGGAAAAAGTAAGTGTCTGATCAGATCAATCAAGCGATAGGGGCAGAGATTTTACTTTGCTAGGACGGAGTTGCTCGCGAAGCGTGGTAGGCCTGCGTCGGGGAGCATACCATAGGAAGGAAAGGAAGCCCGGACTTCCCCCCAATTCAAAATTTTCAAGTGAAAAAAAGATAGATGACTGGGAGTCACGAAATTTTAAAAGCGCCACTTCTAGCAAGAATTTTGATATTTTAATGTTATTTGAAATGGGGGAAAATATACATATATAAACCTCAACAACTTTATAAAAATATAATTGATATCTTATGGTTTTTTATTATTATCTGATAAAGGTCAATTTAGTAACTACATTTTTTAAAAAAAAGTTATAACAAGATGTCAAATTGCGTGCACGTGTCCTAAAGAATAATCCTTCTTAATGACATTATAATAGGTTTTTCTTTTTTATATTTCATTCAATAATAAATAAAGTGTCTGGCCAAAAGTAATATGGTGAACCAGTATTATGTATTTATGCAGAATATAACAATAATTTTTTTTTTTAGTTTTATTCGATAATAAATAAGGTGCCTAGTCTAAAGCAATACGATGGATGAAGCATCGTACATTCACGTAAACTAAAATAACATATATTTTTTTCTTTTTACAGTTAGTCGATAATAAATGCAATATCTTGTAAATTGAATCATTCACATAAATTTAAATAATAATTTTTCTTTTTTACATCCATTCCATAATAAATAAGATATCTTGTCAAATTGAATTCACCGTGATAATACATGTATAGATTAACTTTTTTTCAATAACAATTAGGCAGATAAGAAAAAATCGTTTATCACTTCTTTTTTCTCTCAAGTGGGACTCAAAATCTGATTTATCAGAACTTTCATCACACTCCATTCACAACTCGATCATCATAACATAAAATTAAATTTTTGGGTTTTACTTTGATGAGATAGTTATTGATGTCTAAAGCCAAAAGAGGAGGTCATATACATCATCAATAACAATCTCAATGTAATCTACAAGTGGAGTCTGAAAGTGATGTGTACGCAATTTTACTCCTATCTTATACTGAAGATTCTGATAAGCTCTCAATTCAAGTAAAGCATAATAAACGAGTATGTGTAGCAAATACAAAGTCACAAATGAAGTCTGAAGGTGATGTGCATGCAGATTTACTCCTATCTTATATCGAAGACAGAGAAATTGTTTTCGATAAGCTCTAATGAAATAATAAACAAAGTATTAATAGCTAATACAAAGAAAAAGGCAAGACCAAGCAAAAGAACAAAAAGAGAAGACAATTCTAATCGTCTTTGGACAAATTCCCAATGGTTTTGTGTGTTGGAATCCACTTAACTATAATCCTAAGTCAAAACAAATACTCAATGTTTTATGATCAATTTGGGAAAATCCCCTTTATAGTAAGAAACTTTTTTTGCACATTATGACCACAAATGGACACAAGCTTAGAGAACTTAGATTGGATTCTTGACCTTTATCAGAGCAAATAGTCAATATGCTACAATAAGAACAATTGAATTGTACTAATCAAGACGGCAAAATGGTCATATTATTAGCACCAATGACTCTGAAATCTCATGTTCAACTTTAACAGAAAAACCAAAAAACAATCTGTAGTCTTGCCATTGCCATTGCCATATGGCATAACAGAATCTTTAGCCAAACTATATACTTGAAGAATTGCTTTAAAAATGAAATCTTCTCTTCGATAGGGAACGCTAGAATCCCCATACTGGCCTTCTCTGGCACAATCAAGGTTAGTCGGGCCAGTGGATTAGAAACATCGGAGTTTCCCTGAAAAGAAAAAGAAGAAATAATTGCAATCCGGTGAAACATAGTGATGTCTGAGCTCTACATCCACATCAAGGGAGGAGAACGAAAGGTTCTCGTGAAAAGATCAAACTTAAAATTCTTGAACTTTTCACCAGCTATACGCGTTTACAACACAATTGAGGAAGATTTTCCAGCATCATGCTCAAAGAGTTCAAGCAACCGAATGAATTAATAGTACAATATCATCAACATGAGCAACAGGGCTAAAAAGTAGAGTAAACAAGGACTATGGACCCTTACTACGAACAATGCAGAAACAGCCTTGTATAACTTGATCTTCGGGTATCATTCCTCCTCCTTTGTTTGTGTCAATGACTTCCAACATTTTCACTACCTCATCCATTTCAGGTCGTTTGTCTGGATTTGCGTCCCAGCATTTCTTCATGATATTTGATACAGAGCTTGGACAACATTTCGGGATATTTGGTCGCAAATTCTGCAGGATGGTTATAACATGTGAATAATTTAAGCAGCGTCTTTTTCATACATCAAGAAAAACATAAAGATAACAGACCAGTATTAACTCAAGATATGACTATGTTGCTCGAACTCTTCAAAAATGTCGACTGGTGTGTGTTGGATACTCCAAAATAGTGCGTTTTGGAAGATACGACACAGGTGCAGCAACTATTTTGAGAGTCCGAGCAACACAACACATGAGCAATGAGTCGAGAATGGTAAGCATGCCCTCTAATAATGAAGTGCATGAACACTCAAAGGTATATACTATATAGTATCGAAGCTATGTTTTGTGCATGACATTAGGCAACAATTGTTGGAGAGACGGAGCAAGATAAGAAAAGATACTGAGTTACAAAGTTTTAATCAGAGGACAAACCTGTCTAACAACGGCAGAAGAGACTTCAGCGAAGCTTAGATCTAGATATGGGAGATCACAGCAATAAATTTCCCATAAGCAAATACCGAAGCTATATACATCACATTTTCTGTTGTAAGGCTTGCCATCAAGTACCTACACAATGCATGTGATTAAATCCTTAGTACATGATAAAGAAAAAGTAGATTTAATGTGACGTAGAAATAACATTAACGAAAAACTAAGAAGAATTTTCTGAAAAGATATAGGGAGAGGGTAGACAAGTGACAATATCATGCTGACATAATATATCTCAGACGGGCAAAGCCAACCAAACAACTCTCATAAAAGTAGGAATACCTCTGGGGCCATGTATCCAAGGGTTCCGGTTTCTCCGGTCATGTCTTTGGGATTTTGTGCTTCAACACGAGCAACTCCAAAATCAGCAATTTTTAAATTTCTACTAGTATCTAACAACATATTTTCAGCTTTCACATCACGATGTACAATCTTTTTTGAGTGCAAATAGCTCAGCCTGCACAATCGGAAGAAGAATATAAGCATCATTGGGTATATTTATCAAGAAAACAACGTTGGAAAAAGACGTACCCTCTGGCCAAATCAAGAGCAAGCTGATGGACAATCTTAAAGGCAAGCTTCTTCTTCCTGTTTTTGTACAAGTAGTTTTTCAATGTTCCACCATGGAGAAATTCCACAAGAACACAACAAGCTCGAGAAGGAAGGGTAGTGTAACCATCAGAAGGATTCTTCGAAGGAATCTTAAGATTTGAAGTGCCCATAGAAGCACCAACAAACTGAAAACAGCAAAGACAATCAAATGGAAATTCAGAACATTGAGTTATTTAATTAGATCCTACGTACCATATCTAAAATTGCCAAAGCTTGATTTAAGCTGCATGGCAA